TTCTCTTATGAGTCGCCCATCAGGTGTTGCTTTGTTGTGGGATGTGATAGTGAGGAGTGTTCTAGACCCTTTATATGCCTTCCTTTGATGCGTTACTTTTATTATTCCTTTATAATGTGAATTTTAATGGAATTTCATTATTCTTTCACAGTGATTTTTTGCATATTCTGAAATCACCTGTTTGCTGTGATATATATATATATATATATATATATATATATATATATATATATATATATATATATATATATATATATATATATATATATATACATGTATATATATATATATATATATATATATATATATATATATATATATATATATATATATATATATATATATATATATATAATATATATATATATATATATATTCAACAAGTCGGCCGTCTCCCACCGAGGCAGGGTGACCCATAAAAGTAAGAAAATCCCCCCCAAAAAATACTTTCATCATCATTCAACACTTTCACCACACTCGCACATTATCACTGTTTTTGCAGAGGTGCTCAGAATACAGCAGTTTAGAAGCATACACATATAAAGATACACAACATATCCCTCCAAACTGCCAATATCCCAAACCCCTCCTTTAAAGTGCAGGCATTGTACTTCCCATTTCCAGGACTCAAGTCCGACTATATGAAAATAACCGGTTTCCCTGAATCCCTTCAATAAATATTACCCTGCTCACACTCCAACAGATCGTCAGGTCCCAAGTACCATTCGTCTCCATTCACTCCTATCTAACACGCTCACGCACGCTTGCTGGAAGTCCAAGCCCCTTGCCCACAAAACCTCCTTTATCCCCTCTCTCCAACCCTTTCGAGGACGACCCCTACCCCGCCTTCCTTCCCCTATAGATTTATATGCTTTCCATGTCATTCTACTTTGATCCATTCTCTCTAAATGACCAACCCACCTCAACAACCCCTCTTCTGCCCTCTGACTAATACTTTTATTAACTCCACACCTTCTCCTAATTTCCACACTCCGAATTTTCTGCATAATATTTACACCACACATTGCCCTTAAACAGGACATCTCCACTGCCTCCAACCGTCTTCTCGCTGCTGCATTTACCACCCAAGCTTCACACCCATATAAGAGTGTTGGTACTACTATACTTTCATACATTCCCTTCTTTGCCTCCATAGATAACGTTTTTTTGACTCCACATATACCTCAACGCACCACTCACCTTTTTTCCCTCATCAATTCTATGATTAACCTCATCCTTCATAAATCCATCCGCCGACACGTCAACTCCCAAGTATCTGAAAACATTCACTTCTTCCATACTCCTCCTCCCCAATTTGATATCCAATTTTTCTTTATCTAAATCATTTGACACCCTCATCACCTTACTCTTTTCTATGTTCACTTTCAACTTTCTACCTTTACACACATTCCCAAACTCATCCACTAACCTTTGCAATTTTTCTTTAGAATCTCCCATAAGCACAGTATCATCAGCAAAAAGTAACTGTGTCAATTCCCATTTTGAATTTGATTCCCCAAAATTTAATCCCACCCCTCTCCCGAACACCCTAGCATTTACTTCCTTTACAACCCCATCTATAAATATATTAAACAACCATGGTGACATTACACATCCCTGTCTAAGACCTACTTTTACCGGGAAGTAGTCTCCCTCTCTTCTACACGCCCTAACCTGAGCCTCACTATCCTCGTAAAAACTCTTTACAGCATTTAGTAACTTACCACCTATTCCATATACTTGCAACATCTGCCACATTGCTCCTCTATCCACTCTATCATATGCCTTTTCTAAATCCATAAATGCAATAAAAACTTCCCTACCTTTATCTAAATACTGTTCACATATATGCTTCAATGTAAACACTTGATCTACACATCCCCTACAAACTCTGAAACCTCCTTGCTCATCCGCAATCCTACATTCTGTCTTACCTCTAATTCTTTCAATTATAACCCTACCGTACACTTTTCCTGGTATACTCAGTAAACTTATTCCTCTATAATTTTTACAGTCTCTTTTGTCCCCTTTCCCTTTATATAAAGGGACTATACATGCTCTCTGCCAATCCCTAGGTACCTTCCCCTCTTTCATACATTTATTAAACAAAAGAAACCAACCACTCCAACACTAATCCCCCTGCTTTTAACATTTCTGTCATGATCCCATCAGTTCCAGCTGTTTTAAACCTCCTTTCATTTTACGTAATGCCTCACGTACCTCCACCACACTTACATTCTGCTCTTCTTCACTCCTAAAAGATGGTATACCTCCCTGACAAGTGCATGAAATTACTGCCTCTGTTTCTTCCTTAACATTTAAAAGTTCCTCAAAATATTCTCGCCATCTACCTAATACCTCCATCTCCCCATCTACTAACTCCCCTACTCTGTTTTTAACTGACAAATCAATACTTTCCCTAGGCTTTCTTAACTTGTTTAACTCACTCCAAAATTTTTTCTTATTTTCATTAAAATTTCTTGACAGTGCCTCTCCCACTCTGTCATCTGCTCTCCTTTTGCACTCTCTCACCACTCTCTTTGGCCATTTAAATATGCTTCACATTTAATGTAAAGGTACAAGCTGGCTGTAGAGTGGTTTCTTTTTCTATTTTAAATAATATATATACCCTTAGACTAGGCAGGTCGTTTACACTTTAGGAGACAGGACTTTTATTTAGGTTACTCATTCAAAAGCGTAACATCATTAAACAATATAACTTGAGTCAAGTTGGTGAATGCATGTTAAGTGTGTTAGATGTTGGGTTGGTCGTAGGAACAATGTTATTCATGGTACACAATACCGGCAAGTTAATGAATAATACCCAAGTGTAATACATGGGTATCTTTACTGGCAAAGCGTCTCCCTGTGTAGCAAACTTCTCATCTAAATACAGGGAAATATATCACTGGAGACAGAGGTAACATTGTGGTAATCAGCCTAGATAGGAATTAAAAATAATAAGCTATAACCTTGGCAAAGGCTTCAATTTTGGTGATACGACTTACTTCAAGAAACATTAATCGCATTGATTATATACACAGGACAACAAAAACATATGATGGGTCTGCTGAGAAAAATGCAGGTGTTCTTATGTAATATGATCACGTTGATTCTAAATTTGAAGTTGAAATTGAGATAGCATGTCAGGATTTTTTTATTAAAAAATCACGTTTCATCAGCAGTCACAGCATAGGTAATATAAGTAGTCATTAAGACTTATTCTCTGTTATAAACTGTTAAAAGAATGCTTCAAGGAGATTAAACAGCATATTCTCACTGTAAGAAGAAAATATTTAAAAATGTGTTAAGCATTTGGCTTTACACTTATGACTAACAGTGATGTCTCTCTAAAGAAACCAGCAGTAGTCCCCCATCATGCTGGGACTGAAATGTCCTTCATAACGTACCTCCATTGCAATGGTATCCTGATGAATTTTTTCACAATCCTCATCACTAACAACACTAAAACTATACACAAATAACCCGCACATAAAAGAGAGAAGCTTACGACGACGTTTCGGTCCGACTTGGACCATTGGACCACTAAAACTAGATGGTAAGAAGTCCAGGTGTGAATGAAAAAAGAAGAGAGTATTTTCATGGACATACTGCAGCACAGTGTTTTACAGGCTTCTATCACGTTTTGTACTAATTCGGCATAATTGTCTGCTCTGTGCTTTCCTAGGAAGTTCTCGACAATCTTTTTGAAAGTTTCCCATGTAGCCAGCTTCAGTGTGGTCAGTTATGATAGGAAGACTGAGTCTGATAACATTTCACGTATTTGTGACCTAACAAATACTCCGGCCGTAAGTTTAGCGTCAGTTAAAACTCCTCCATATTTTTCCATATTTAAAAAGGTTTCCATTAGGCTAAACTTTGTATGCAGTGGTGGAAGAAATATCTTCCGATGATGTACCAGTTGCGTAAGTTGCATGTTGAATTTTTCTGGAATAAGGTCTTTATTTGTCGGCCATATTCTTTTATCTTGCAGTTGTTCTCATCGTCACGACTATTCCACAAACAATGGAAGCCTGTGTGTTTTGTGTAGCCAAGTTAGAGACCAAATATTAACCTTATCACTTTTAGGTCCCCCACATATTCCACTTGTGGTCGTTATAGTTTGTTAGAGTAGAATTTCCATGGACTCGTGTTTCCTTTAATCCCACAACATGAGCCACTGGCACAGATAACTTTTCAATTAGTAGTCTCTATTCATCAGGATGGTGATCATAACCCAGTTCCTTCATAAGATCATTCACACACTCTAATGTAAATGCTACATATTGTTACCTACACAGTTTAGTTAAAAAATGAAGTCTCCGCTAAGATATATCAGTACTGAAGGTTTGATGCAGATCAGGTGAGGTATCCACAAAATATCACATGAAAATCAATATTTAAATTTTCCCGGTTCCAATAAAACCGGCAAATTGGCACTTACACAGTGCAAGATAATTTTAAATCTTTCTTTAGAGCAGACCAACATTTGAGATTTGCAGACAATCAGAAGATCCATTCTCCAGTTATTGCGCAAATAACAATCCCATTTAACTATGTTAAAAAATTGTCAGTGTTGAACGTGTATAACTTAAATTTATAATGAATCTTTCATTTTTGTTAGTTAATTCAGCCTTTAAAGTTTGCAACAGATCCAAAGAGATATTAAGATTCCACACAGAAGAAAACACACCACAATTTTATTATCAAAGTAGATAAATTAGAATCCATATACTATAACAACATTACGATTCTTTTCCTATGGAGGACACACCTGTTTGGAAAGTGTGAAGCTGGTCACTTAATAGCTTTGAAAATTAAGAGTAGATCGGATCAATCATTCTGAAGTTATACACGAAAATCCCTATAGGATTCCGGTGTCGGGAATCATTGATTCAAGGACCTGACTGTTTCCAAGGGACGTGATAAGACTGTCTTGACGGCGGACTGGCAAGTGTATATATACCTGACGTACTGATGGTTTACAGCCAGACGGAACCTGTGTGTCAGTGCATGCAAGATTCCACTGACACTTCTCCCATACCTGTCTTTTACCTATTCCTATTATCTCATTAACATAGCTGTCTAAAATAATCTTTCAACTGAAATATATTGTGTCGAAACCACCAGGAAATCTTCCAAGAAAGCCATGATGATCGTAGCTTCTGTTATAGGTGTGGTCCTGGTAGCAGCCCTTAGTCGTAAGTATTGCAGTACGCATAATTAAATGTACATCTACAAACATCAACTATGATCTTTAATTTGTGGGGTGACTAGGACATTGGTCCGTATCAGGAAACATCCTGTTTCCTGATTAATAAAATATTTCCCTGTACATTAACAAAAATACATTGTGTGTTCATAAATTCAATCCACATCTACAAGCATCTTTCATTGATGAATTCGTATGAGCAAATAGTTTTATAAATAAATTACCAATTGAATTTTAAACTGAATGAAAACTGGTGTATGTGAACATTTTTGTGTGAAAATTCTCCACAGTTCAAGTTGGTTAGAAGAATTTTCATTAAACTTGTTATATTTAGGCTTAGTAATGGCATTCATAGTAACTTGTATACAGTGAGTAAAAATATCTTGACTGCTGATATTAACTTGACTCGACACTGTTGTGCTCATCAATCCAAAATGTTGTTATCAGAAAACACACTGCTATTATGCAGTTGCATTTCCATCAACTTACAGCTTAAAATTCACTATTTATGCTTAAATCTATTACTGCAACCTCCATTGTGGGCCTTCATAAATTCATCAAATTCATAAATTCCCAAACTTCCATGTATTTTCAATAATTTATACAACGATTGTTTAGCAAAGTATATTTTGTTTTGAGACAATGTTATTTTTATTATGAGTTCAGTCCGCAAGACTAATAAAGTGTTAATAAAACATTTGACAAATTATAAGAAGTATCTGTCATAACACACATTAATTTTATGTGGATTAAGTAATTAAAAATGTTATTCTTTTCTTCTGTATATGTTTTGGCAACTCTTCTGAAATTAATTTGTCCATTTTTTCAAAGTAATAAATCAATTTACGTTTTTGTAAATAATATTTAATATTTTTTTACATTGTTACATGGCGGCATTTAAACACTGTCCTTCATAATAAATAGAACAATATTAATGTTTGTTAACTATTACTGTGAGTTTCTTCAAAGCTCCATGTTATGCAGGCTACTGATTTGCTGTGATGGATTTATATGTAGTCTGGGAATGTGTAATAAGGTTCACTAACTTCATAACACTCCTTGATAATTGTAAACAGTGTTTGCAGATGCCGCTCACGAGTGTGAGAGGACCTGTGAGGCTGGGGACACCCGTACTTGTTATTATACCTTCAACCTTCAGGAGTACCACACAATGAGTCGTGCTTGCTTCAACTGCCCGTTTAACACGACTGACTGCTCCCGTCCTGAATGTATAGCCGCTGACGGTGTAGCCAGGCCTCTTATTACGATCAACCGCCAGCTCCCGGGACCAAGCATACAAGTGAGCTCCACGCAGATACCACAGAAACAATTTATGACAGTGTTCAAACATACTAATCTGATCTTGTCGGATTTTTATATATTCCCTTAATTCACTTAAGGTAGGAGCGTGGAAAATCACTGGTAATGTTTTGTAAGAATTCACGGAACGTTTAACTTTGTTAAAAAAACAACTTTAATATAACACTTTTGCGGGTATCAGTTATATTATCATGGTGATCAAACAGCGCCTAGATAACAGCAAGCAATAAGGCTCGATGTAAGGAAGAGGAGAATAAGTTCAATTCCTTGGATCAAGAGACCCCTTCACTAGCATCAAATCACCTCCCATGAGATGCCCAGAGACCCAACCACCAGCTTCCCACACCAAGACTTTGTGTCACTCTCCAGACTGAGTCGTTTCCTCAGTCCCACTTTGCGTTCACCTCTTCATGAGGAGTTCCTTGACGTTTGTGAGGGGATCTTGATCCAAGGAATTGGACCTCGTCTCCTCTTCCCCGGATCAAACCTGATTGCCTCCCATGCCTCAGACACTATTATTCCACCGGGTTTAGTGCTTCCAGCGTAACTAAGAAAAAATATGATTTCTAGACACACAAAAATAAATTTCCTGAATTTCCCTGCAGTTAGAAATCGATAATTCACTCTAATTTACTGAAATATTATTATTATTATTATTATTATTATTATTATTATTATTATTATTATCGCCGGGTCACCATCTGGAGAAGACCCGGGCCGGAAATACCGGCAAATCTTTAACTAATTATTATTATTATTATTATTATTATTATTATTATTATTATTATTATTATTATTATTATTATTATTATTATTATTATTATTATTATATTATATTATATTATTATTATTATTATTATTATTATTATTATTATTATTATTATTATTATTATTATTATTATTATTATTGTTGTTGTTGTTGTTATTATTATTTAGTGGAAAATGCTAAACCCAAAGGAGTGTTGCAACGCCTAGTGAATGGGAAGTTATGGGGTTAGATCCATAGAGAGGCAGGGTGGCTCCAGCATCAAAATTCGTTGGTATACAGATAAGATTTTGTTCGGATTTAAACCCCGGAGAGTTATCCACTCAGGATAACCCAAGAAAGTCAGTGCGTCATCGAGGTCTGTTTTATTTCCATTTATTTCCCCAGGATTGATCCACGGACAGTCAGTGTGTAAGGCAAAAGCGTTGTCTACCAGGCCATGGCTCTCCTATTTTCCTGTTAAAGACTTTAGTATGACAATACCTTAATAATTGTACATGCGTCATTAACGTATAATAATGGACTATTTTTTTACCAACTTTGGTTTAAAGCAATACATGTCACTTTGGAATATTTATTATTTTAACGCCGTCTCTTAGATACATTTTCATCCATATTACTAATTTATCTCAGATTTCAGTGGTTAATAAAGTAATAAATCAATCAGGATTTGAGTTCTCCATCTGGGATTACCAGCCGGTCGTGCTAGACCACTGCACCGCACTTTCACAAGGCTCCCTTCATCATAATCCTGTGTAGATTAGTGGTGGTCACTAACTGAAACTGGCGACTAAAACAAAATAGTATTAGTTATTGGCTGCTGTCGAATCAGAGTTTCTCTTACAAGCTTAATGATCAGGTCCCGGTCTGAGACCATCATCTACGTGCAAAGGATTCTGGTTGTGCAAATCTTACGACCCTCTGTGGTTTAGTGGGCCGGATATATTACACATGATATAACAGCTGTTTCTTCCTGGTCAGGTGTGTGAGGGAGACCGGGTGGTGGTGGATGTGTACAACTGGATGCTGTCGGACACTGAGACCATCCACTTTCACGGGCACCACATGAAAGATTTCCAGTACTATGATGGTGTCCCCTTTGTCACTCAGTGCCCCATCTTAGGCGGCTCCTTCCGCTATAACTTCGTGACTACAAACAGTGGCACTCACTGGTGGCACTCTCACTCAGGTACGTTGGCAGCCAACCACTATTGACTATAGGGTATCGTGGTGAATCTAGTGTGTTATGTAACATTATATAAGGAAAAAAACTCACCCTTGATCAAAAGTGAACAGTTAAATACTGCATTATTTTTGGGAATTCTGAACATTTACATCACTTCTGACTCTCACTCTTCTGAAGTATTAAATGTTTTGATAAATTAGACACATGTGCAACAATTGAGTATATTTAGTGAGTGAACGTTTCGCCACACAGTGGCGAATGAGATTGGTGAAGAACAGGAGTTTGAGGTAATCAGTCCCTCAGCCTTGAGTCAATGTAATCAGTCCATCAATCTTTTCAAGCTACCCAAGAATTGACTCCCCTATCCACGACACTATTCAAACCCAGCCCCTCCCGCTCAAATATTCGTCAGATCTCTCCTTAAAGCTACCCAGGGTCCTAGCCTCGATTACCCTACTCGGAAGATTGTTCCAAGCATCGACCACTCTGTTTGAAAACCATTACTTACCTATGTCCTTTCTAAATCCGTTATTCCTGGTTCTTACTTGAGTCGATATCCTCAGAATTTTCTGAATATCGCCTTTGTTTATACCCATCATCCACTTATACACTTGGATGATATCTCCTCGCATTCTACGTCTCTGAAGAGAGTGAAGATTTAAGGATCTATCTTCATACGGAAGATTCCTTATAGAGTGAATCATTTTGGTCATCCTTCTCTATATGTTCTCCAATGAATTTATATCCATCCTGTAGTAAGGAGACCAAAACTGAGCGGTATAATCCAAGTGAGGCCTTACCAGTGATGTATAGAGCTGTAAAATAACTTCTGGACTCCTGTTACTTATACTTCTTGAAATAAATCCTAGTAATATGTTTGCTTTATTGAGCACACTTAGGCACTGTTGTCTTGGCTTAAGGTTTTTGCTTACCATGACTCCCAAGTCCTTTTTACACTCTGTGTGATGAAGCTGTACTTTACCTAGTTCATAACTTCGAGGGTTATTCTCATTCCCATGGCCCAGGACCTTACATTTGCCCACGATGAACTTCATCTGCCACTTTTCAGACCAAGACATTAATTTGTCCAGATCATCCTGGAGTTCATTGGTATCCTCCTCAGAATCAATCATTCCGCCTATTTTTGTGTCATCAGCAAATTTGCTCATATCACTTGTAATTCCTTCATGAAGGTCATTAATGTAAATTACGAACAACATTGGGCCTAAAACTGATCCTTGTGGAACGCCATTAGTGACCAGCCCCCATTCAGATTTGACCCAATTAATGGAAACTCTCTGCTTTCTATTGGTAAGCCATGCCTCTATCCATGCTAGAACCTTACCTCCTATGCTATGAGCTGCCACTTTTTTAAAGAGTCCTTTGTGAGGCACTCTGTCGAAGGCTTTACTGAAATCCAAATAAACAACATCATATTCTTTAACACTGTTTACTGCCTAAATAGTTTTATTGAAGAACGTCAGTAAATTTGTCAGGCAGGAACGACCTCTCGTGAATCCATGCTGAGATTCGTTAATCAAATTATGCGCTTCTGGCTGACTGGACGGTAATTTGATGGAATGGACTTATCCCCTGATTTAAATGTTGGAATTGCATTAGCCATCTTTCACATCTCTGGCACAACACCAGTATGGATGGACGCATAAAACAAGCTCGTTAATAGCTAAGTTCCAACTTGCATTCTTTAAGCACTCTTGAAAATAATTCATCGGGTCCCGGGGGCTTATTTTGCTTCAGTTTATCTATCTGTCTGATAACCATTTCCCTCGTGACAGTAATGTTCCTTTATTGGTTTTCTTCAGGAACTGAATAATTGTCATTTTCTAGGATATCATTCATGTCTTCCTGTGTAAAGACTGACAAGAAGTAATCATTAAATAGAGAACACATTTCCTGTTCATTTTCATTCAGCTGTCCATCCCCAGTTTTCAGCGGTCCAACTTTTTTCTCTGATGTTTGTCCTATACATTTGAAAGAACCCTTTTGGATAAGTATTTGATTCATTAGCAACTCTAATTTCATAGTCACATTTAGCCTTTCTCATCCCCTTTTGTACTTCTCTCTTAAAATAAGCATATTAGTAAATAAGGTTAACCTCTCCTCTTTCGATGCGCCTATAAATTCCTTTTTTCTCTCTCAGTAGGTGCTTTAGTCTATTATTACCTGAGAGAGATGTAGATAAAGCTGGTAAATGTGCTTGCGTGTAGTAATAGTCAAAGAAGTCAGTTCTCTGGGGTGTTTTATTCTCAGGTGTTTCCACAACACTATACAGGCCTTCAATATTCATGTTGTCAATGAGATAACACTTATAATATTCATGGGAAAAACAGTAAACCCGTAGGGTTCATAATACGCTTTGGGAATGGGATGGGGCTTTAACCAGCACAACAGTGAAAAGTCATTCTTATACTTTCCATAAGAGAAGGTTAACATTCCTCCCTAGTCCCTAATTTCTTACTTAGAAATGACACTACAAATGAATTTCATACAGACAAATCACGTAGCAGATACACTCCACACAGTGTTACATTGGTCAAGAGAGGATGTAAAAACCACTCAAAATATCAGTCGTCGTCAGGTTTTCAGTTCCCGTTATGTTTATCAGGTCTTCACCGAGGGAGTGGTGTGTTTGGTGCATTCGTTGTGAGGGAGGTAATGGACCCCATGGCTTGGTCCTACGACGTGGACCTGCCCGAACACGTCATCGTCATGAACGACTGGATCCACGTCTCCACCATCGACAAGTTTCTTAACCGCTTTCATTACATCGGTGACGGCCATGTTGAGAATATCCTCATCAACGGCAAGGCCAGGATATTCGAAGCACAGGTATGAGTTCTGCATGATGATGTGCTTCTCTTGCAAAACTTGCCGTCTTTTTTTATCCCAAACAAGTGTAAATTCATTGTTGCAGTATCTCAGCGAAAAATCAGTATGAGCTTCAAGACGTTAATTCATTTCATTAATAATAAATAATACTAACTAAATTTAGACTGACTTACCAAAAGTTACGCCGGAATGAGCTAGAGTGAGCTACGTTAATATAAGCAAGGATGAGTGAGGTTACTAAGTTAATAGTAGTGCAAAATTAAATTATTTTTCAAAAGAATATATTAGGGCAGTTCAGCTTGCTCCCTAACCCCCTACCAAAAAAAGTGAATTTCATTACACAATCCATCCTGGGGGGATCCAACTTTAATGACTCCCCTTAAAGTTAATGTGTAGTGGGTATGTAGGCCTGCGGGAATAGCCTGTTTGACCTGGCAGTCGACAATGAAATCTGGATTCGAAAGTGAAGAAGATCTGGAAACTCATCTTTGACACGTCACTGGTATCACTTCTATAACAGGCACTGATTGTTTAAACTTATGTCACATTAACGGCATTGCTCCTGCCAGTTCCGAAGAAGTGTCACGTACAATACAGTAAACAAGAGTTATAGATTTATATGTATTATATATATATATATATATATATATATATATATATATATATATATATATATATATATATATATATATATATATATATATATATATATATATATATATATAATATATATATATATATATATATATATATATATATGTAGGTAGTAGGTTGGTAGACAGCAACCACCCCTGCCAAGTGAGTGTAAAACGAAAGCCTGTAATTGTTTTACATGATGGTAGGATTGCTGGTGTCTTTTGTCTGTCTCATAAATATGCAAGATTACAGGTATGTCTTGCTACTTCTACTTACACTTAGGTCACACTACACATACATGTAAACGTTTATTTATACACACTCATCTGAGTTTTCTTTGATTTTATCTTAATAGTTCTTGGCCTTATTACTTTTCCTTTTATATCCATGGGGAAGTGGAATAAGAATCTTTCCTCCGTAAGCTATGCGTGTTGTAAAGGTCAACTAAAATGCCGGGAACAATGGGCTTGTAACCCCTTTTCCTGTAAAGATTACTAAAAAAAATAAGAATAAGAAAATTGTCAAAGTGGGAAGTCTGAATGTGCGTGGATGTTGTGCAAATGATAAGAAAGAGATGATTGTGGATGTTATGAATGAGAAGAAGCTGGATGTCCTGGCTTTAAGTGAAACAAAGCTGAAGGGGGTGGGAGAGTTTCAGTGGAGAGGAATAAATGGGATTAGGTCAGGGGTTTCAAATAGAGTTAGAGCTAAAGAAGGAGTAGCAATAATGTTGAAGGATAAGCTATGGCAAGAAAAGAGGGACTATAAATGTATTAATTCAAGGATTATGTGGAGTAAAATAAAGGTTGAATGTGAAAAGTGGGTTATAGTAAGCGTATATGCACCAACACTCTTATATAGGTGTGAAGCCTGGGTTGTGAATGCAGCAGCGAGGAGACGGTTGGAGGCAGTGGAGACGTCCTGTCTAAGGGCAATGTGTGATGTAAATATTATGCAGAAAATTCGGAGTGTGGAAATTAGGAGAAAAATCTGTTGAAGAAGGAAGGCGGGGTAGGGGTCGTCCTCGAAAAGGTTGGAAGGAAGGGGTAAGGGAGGTTTTATGGGCGAGGGGCTTGGACTTCCAGCAGGCGTGTATGAGCGTGTTCGATAGGAGTGAATGGAGACGAATGGTATTTGGTACCTGACGATCTGTTGGAGTGTGAGCAGGGTAATATTTAGTGAAGGGATTCAAAGAAACCGGTTATTTTTATATAGACGGACTTGAGTCCTGGAAATGGGAAGTACAATGCCTGCACTCTCAAGGAGGGGTTCGGGATATTGGCAGTTTGGAAGGATATGTTGTGCATCTTTATATGTATATGCTTCTGAGCTGTTGTGTTCTGAGCACCTCTGCAAAAACAGTGATTGTGTGTGAGTGAGGTGAAAGTGTTGAATGATGATGAAAGTATTTTCTTTTTGGAGATTTTCTTTCTTTTTGGGTCACCCTGCCTCGGTGGGAGACGGCCGACTTGTTGAAAAAAAAAAAAATATAATATATATATATATATATATATATATATATATATATATATATATATATATATATATATATATATATATATATATATATATATATATATATATATATATATATATATATATATATATATATATATATATATGTCGTGCCGAATATGTAAAACTGGTCAATTAGCAAGAACTCATTTAAAATTAAGTCCTTTCTAAAATTTTCTCTTATACGTTTAAAGATATATTTTTTTCATTTATGTTAATGCAATTTACAACTATGTTGATATTTTATAAATGCTGAGGAAACATGGTAAAAATATTCACATTTAGTAGCCATTAACTTGGTCTATTGGAACTCTACTCTTCATTAATTTACTTTTCGATAAACCACAATTTTTTGTTTATGCTCATTATGATATAACTTATAACTGTTTCTCCAATACTTGGGTAAGGAGGGTGCATCTACGCCAGTGGAGGTGGTGAAGGTAACGCCTGGACTGCGTCACCGTCTGCGTCTCATCAACGCCGGGGGATTCAGCTGCCCCATGATTGTCTCCGTCGACAACCACCAACTTACTGTCATCAGCACTGATGGGGTTCCCGTTGAACCATACGTTGCTGATTCCGTTGTTCTGTTCTCTGGTAAGTTTACCCTCTAGGGAGGGATGCATCATGTTGAACCATGAATATATATATATATATATATATATATATATATATATATATATATATATATATATATATATATATATATATACATATATATATATATATATATATATATATATATATATATATATATATATATATATATATATATATATATATATATATATATATATATATATATATATATATATATGTCGTGCCGAATAGGCAGAACTTTCGATCTTGGCTTAAATAGCAACGTTCATCTTGCGATATAGGACAAGTGAAAATTTGTGTATGCAATAATTTCGCCAAAATCATTCTGAACGTAACTAAAAAAAATACATTTTACTGTGTTTGTTTAGTATTAAATTATTATAAATAAATCTAAAATATATTTAGTTGGGTTAGGCTAAAATAATTTGTTCTTGTTATAATAAGGTTAGGTAAGTTTTCTGAGATTCTTTTGGAGCAAAATTAAATTTTTTACATTAACATTAATGAAAAAAATATATCTTTAAACGTATAAGAGAAAATTTTAGAAAGGACTTAATTTAAAATGAGTTCTTGCTAATTGGCCAGTTTTACATATTCGTCACGACATATATATATATATATATATATATATATATATATATATATATATATATATATATATATATATTTTATATATATATTTTATTTATTATTATCACACTGGCCGATTCCCACCAAGGCATATATATATATTATATATAATATATATATATATATATATATATATATATATATATATATATATATATATATATATATATATATATATATTTATATATATATATATATATATATATATATATATATATATATATATATATATATATATATATATATATATATATATATATATATATATATATATATATATATATATATATATATATATATAAGGACAAAGCTCGTCTCCTGGCAGTGAAGGCACCACACTCTGGAGATTTCCTGTTTGCTGTTCCCAATTCCTCCTTCGGCACTCGACTAGACCCACAGGCCATTCGGATTGGTGTTACTCTTCGCCTAGCGGCCCCCATCCTCACCGAACATAGGTGTATTTGCGGCAGGGCGACAGCTCATCAATTCGGACTTCATGGTCTCGTGTGTCACACAGCAGAAGGGAAATATGCCAGGCATGAGGTCAATGATATCATAAAGAGAAGCCTCGCCACAGCCCGTTGCCCAGCTCAACGGGAACCCCAAGTGCAGAGGTCTGACGGAAGTCTAAAGCGTCCTGATGGAGCCACTATGCTACCTTGGAAGGATGGAAAGCAGATTGCCTGGGACTACACATGTGCCGCCACATTGGCAGACACCTACTTGCCATACTCCGTAGTGGAAGGGGGTGGAGCTGCCAGACACAGGGAGACTCAGAAGATCCGCAAATATGAAGACCTTCCCCCTTGCTATAACTTCATCCCAATAGGGTCAGAGACCCTTGGAGCATGGGGCAAGTGTGCTCTAAAGTTCCTAATAGAGCTGGGTGAAAAGCTCATCATAGAAACAAAAGGACCACAGGGCGACCAGCTTCCTCTTCCAGAGACTCAGTGTTGCGATCCAGAGAGGAAATGCCTGCAGCATTCTGGGCACGCGGCCCACCGCCGGCGAGCTGGACGAAGTATTCGAGATGTAGCTCTGAGTTACCTATGTTGTTTTACTTTGTATCGTAGTTTTGTGAATGTTCTGTCAATGTATTTTGTCTTTAAATAAAATATATATATATATATATATATATATATATATATATATATATATATATATATATATATATATATATATATATATATATATATATATATATATATATATATATATATATATATATATATATATATAAATATATATATATATATATATATATATATATATATATATATATATATATATATATATATATATATATATATATATATATATATATATATAATATAGGGGGTGGTAGGAGAAAATTCTCAAACAGCTTCAGGGAGAATATTGAGTTTTCCCTGAAGCAAGTTTATTCTTTTCTCTGAGGATGAGGGTCCCCATAACAGTTCTAGAGGTGGTACCTCCCTATATTTATATATTTATATATAATATATATATATATATATATATATTATATATATATATATATATATATATATATATATATATATTTATATTATATATATATATATATATATATATATATATATATATATATATATATATATATATATATATATTATATATATATATATATATATATATATATATATATATATATATATATATATGTCGTGCCGAATAGGCAGAACTTGCGATCTTGGCTTAAATAACAACGTTCATCTTGCCATATAGGACAAGTGAAAATTTGTGTATGCAATAATTTCGCCAAAATCATTCTGAACCTAACGAAAAAAATATATTTCACTTTGTTTGTTTAGTATTAAATTATTGTAAACAAATCTAAAATATAATTAGTTGGGTTAGGCTAAAATAAATTGTTCCTGTTATAATAAGGTTAGGTAAGTTTTCTAAGTTCCTTTTGATGCAAAATTATAAATTTTTACATCAACATTAATGAAAAAAAATATCTTTAAACGTATAAGAGAAAATTTCAGAAAGGACTTAATTTTACATGAGTTCTTGCTAATTGACCAGTTTTACATATTCGGCACGACATATATATATATATATTTTATATATATATATATATATATATATATTTTATATATATATAATATATATATATATATATATATATATATATATATATATATATATATGTAATTGTGACCACGAACGAGTGGTATTGATCAATAACAGCACTGCACTAGCGAAGGACTAGAACCCATGTTGCACTTGTCCGCCTCATGGTGAACCAGAAAAGGCATGACGCTTTAGACCACCGGTTGGTACTGTGGTCTAAGGTGTCATGTGGTTCTGGCTCACCATGGAGTGGACCAGTACAACATGGGTTTGAGTCCTTGGCTAGTGCAGCGTTGATATATGTATATATATATATATATATATATATATATATATATATATATATATATATATATATATATATATATATATATATATATATATATATATATATATGTATATTATATTATATAATATATATATATATATATATATATATATATATATATATATATATATTTATATATATATGTATATTATATATATATATTATATGTATATGTGTGTGTGTGTGTGTGTGTGTGTGTGTGTGTGTGTGTGTGTGTGTGTGTGTGTGTGTGTGTGTGTGTGTGTGGTGTGTGTGTGTGTATGTGTGTGTGTGTGTGTGTGTGTGTGTGTGTGTGTGTGTGTGTGTGTATGTGTGTGTGTGTGTGTGTGTGTGTGTGTGTGTGTGTGTGTGTGTGTGTGTGTGTGTGTGTGTGTGTGTGTGTGTGTGTGTGTGTGTGGTACGGAATAGGTAAAACTGGTCAGTTAGCAAGAACTCGTTTAAAATTAAATCCTTTCTAAAATTTTCTCTTATACGTTTAATGATATATTTTTTCATTTATGTTAATGTAAAAAATAATAATTTTGTTACCAAAAGGAGCTTAGAAAACTTACCAAGCCTTATTATAGAAAGTGCAATTTAATTTAGTCTAATCCAAGTAGATATATTTTAGATGGGCTCACAGTAATTTAAGAAGCAAACACAATGATATATACATATATATATATATATATATATATATATATATATATTATATATATTATATATATATATATTTATTTATAATTTTTTTTTGATAGGTTCAGAATGATTTTGCGAAATTTTTGTATACACAAATTTTTGCTTGCATTATTCAACAAGAAGAGCATTCCTATTTACGGCAAAATCGCAAGTTTTACCTATTCGGTTTGACACATATATACAAAACAACCACGGGAGGAGTTGAAAGGTAGCTCTAGGCCTTTCGTGGTGCGATCAGCACATCTTCAGGAGTTGTCTATGTTCCACAAATGAATAGGAAGTCCAGGTAGAAGAGCTCAAGGGAATGACTCTAGCTAGAGTGACAGAAACATGAAGGCAAGATATTAAAAACAGTAGCTGTAGAAACATTTATCAGCCCAACGACATTAAATATTTAGTAATGACACAGTTACCACATCGTTAGTGACATGACAGTTATCAAACACATTCTGTCAGACTTCATATCGAATCATTATAAGAGAGCATAATCTAATCTCAAAGGTATCTGACATCTCTCAGTTGTTGAAATTCCACCGCATATAAAGAGAATAGTGAAGCATAGGGAAGCAGCAAAAAGGGAAAATCCTTCTCTTTCCATAGACTGGACTAATTCACCCTTCAGGTTTATTCATAAGTTTGATTGGAAGCAGCAAATTCGTCAGTGGAGAGCTGCATTTATGGCAATGCAAAGAGGTCAGGTAGGAATCCTGCTTCAGATTGTGAACAATGTCTCCAGGTATAAAGTTACCGAGTTTGAAAAAGTTGCCACAATTATTGTAAATTAACATTTATAATGTTTTATAATTTTTGATTCTGTAATACTTCGTTCAAGCCACGAGAAGTAAGGAACCAATACTCTAGCTGCTGACCAATTTGCTGCATTATTGCAGACTCTAATGTGACTGAAAATCACATTTGATAAACCATACCACGGGTGGGGATAGAACCCGCAATCAGAGAGTGGTATTGATTCGTCTGTATTTGTGGTCACAGTGGTGCCTATGCTAACCTTCCTATGGTGTAGAAATATACCTAGTTGGACGAATCTTATTGTAACTAGCTGGTCCAGTGGCTAACGCGACGGTCTGAAGTTTCGAGACTCTCTGATCACGGGTTCTATCCCCACCCGTGGTATGGTTTGTTTGCAATCGTGTCATTACGATTTCGTGAATCACATTTGATTCCTGCGCAGTTCGTATCGAATATCAGAGTTGTGATATTCTGACATCTAGAGGTTTGTCAGTCTGTACCATGTAAGATAAGCTGCAGCAAATGCAAATGATCTTTTAAATACCACCAACACAATACTGAGGACAATTCTTTAAGAAAATGCTTTTAGTAGTCCACGAATTCTTAAAAATCTACTTGTATATTGAAACTTTTTTAGAGAATTTGATAGGACAGATAGTCTTATTGTATGGGAGAACCAGCACATTCGTGATATGATGTGTTATACTGGGTTCAGCATTATGATACGTTTTCCTAGCTGCCAGCAATGCTGATTCTACAAACTTCTTAGGGTACCATAGTTACGTGGAAATATCAAATATTTTTCTATTTTTTCATCGAGAAACCCAGGGTTGCGCACTCGGTAAGCATTAGAATTGGACAAAACTCTAATGTCTTGGTCTGAAAAGTGGCAGATGAAGTTCAACTTGGACAAGTGTAAGGTCCTAATACTTGGGAATGAGAATAACCCTCGAAGTTATAAACTGAGTAAAGTAGAGCTTAATCACGCAGAGCATGAAAAGGACTTGGGAGTCATGGTAAGTCAAACACCTTAAACCAAGACAACAGTGCCTAAGTGTGCGCAATAAGGCTAACAGATTACTAGGATTTATTTCAAGAAGTATAAGTAACAGGAGTCTAAAAGTTATTTTACAGCTCTATACATCACTGGTAAGGCCTCACTTGGATTATGCCGCTCAGTTTTGGTCTCCTTACTACAGGATGGATATAAATTCATTGGAGAACATATAGAGAAGGATGACCAAAATGATTCACTCTATAAGGAATCTTCCGTATGAAGATAGATCCTTAAATCTTCACTCTCTTGAGAGACGTAGAATGAAAGGAGATATCATCGAGGTGTATAAGTGTATAAGGTGTATAAGGTGGTATTAATAAAATACTGAAGGTATCAACTCGGGATAGGAACTATACATAGCTTTAAGAAGAGGTTTGATAAGGCTCATGGAGCAGGGAGTGGACCTAGAGACGACGAATGAGGAGGCGGAGCCAGAAACTATGACTCGACACCTGCAACCACAATTGGGTGAATTAGGTGAGCACATCTAAATTTAACAATTACGAACTAATACAGTAAGCTCTCTAGTCACAATCACACTTTCGTGAAGCACTAAGAGCAAATTCAAAACCGTGTCATTGATAAATCGTAAATCTATGAGAGGATTACATCACTTAAATCTTGCCTTACAAATAAATTCTCGGAGTATTGAAGTATGAAGCAGTCTGCAGAGGTAAGAAATAATTTTGTTTAAGCTTTAGAAAAGCTTTTGACATTGTTCCACTTGAAAGGTTGCTTAGAAAATGTGCAGATCATGCTACTTGAAGTCCTTTTAATCTCATCACCTGCATATTATTCCAATAAGCAGGTGATAACATTTAATTAATAAAGAGACTCGTCCATTGTGGAGGATCAAGTCCCCAGTGGACGATAAGCCTTATCAATAAATGCCATGATGTTGTATTTTATATATCTTGGTATATTTATGTTGTTGTGTTGTGTTTTATATATCTCGGTATATATTACCACTGGTATGTACTGGATAATGTTTCTCTGCAGGTGAGAGGTTCGACGTGGTGCTGGAGGCAGACCAGCTGGTCGACAACTACTGGATCAGGTTCAATGGAATCATCCACTGCACGTGAGAAGTTCATTTTAGTTTCTGAATGTGAATTGTGAACATCCTCAATATTAAAATTAATTTACCAGCAAAAAATTTTGTATAGGATTAATACCAAAACGTGAAATATTGCCCAGTATACATTGTTGGGAGCAGATTTTGTGTACTTTATTCATATTTACGCATCTATCTGTATCCGAAGTATTATCCAAAATTCCTGGTGAAATTTATTGGTAAAGTGTATTATTCTATTAGAGAACAGTTAATGGAATGTTCCATGTGACTATAGTGTGTATGTGTGTGTGTATTTACCTATATGTGGCTGCAGGGGTCGATTCACAGCTCCTGTCCCCGCCTCTTTATTGACCTCTACTATTGGCCTCTGTGTGTGTGTGTGTGTGTGTGTGTGTGTGTGTATACTCACCTAATTGTGGTTGCAGGAGTCGAGACTCAGCTCCTGGCCCTGTGTGTGTGTGTGTGTGTGTGTGTGTGTGTGTGTGTGTGTGTGTGTGTGTGTGTGTGTGTGTGTGTGTGTGTGTGTGGTGTGTTGTGCTTGAGTATAACCAGAATTTATCAAACAAGTAAAATTTATAATAATTTTTGCTATAACACCGTGAACATCTATCGGAACATCACGGAATTTCTGTAATACTGTATTTAATTGACGTTAAATGATACTATCTACAGTTAGCTTTACCTTAGATAAAATAAGTATGACTACACTATGTTCAATTAATTTTAGTAAGGTCAGGTTATTAAATGGCTTTGGTGAAAAGTTTTAAATTTCCACATTAAGTTAAAGCAAACATTAAATGATGACATAAAAATTCTCTCTGTTTTTCCACTTCAGATCAGAGTGGTAGTGGTGGTTTAGTTGTTAGGAACATGTCCAGTGTCACCCGACACGGCACTCAGTTAAATGATGACCCGTAACTGGTTAAACATCCGGATGTAGCTTTATACTTCAGTCATACACGATCACTACAAAGATGTTACAGGTACGGGATAAAGCACGTCGCTGATGGCTGATCACTATATGACCTCGGCTACCTTCACGTGTCCTTAAATGCTCCTTTCTTACTATTTATCTGTCTAGTCATGGTTAGACGCTATCTTGCAGCATCCCAACCAAAGTGACGGCACCACTCCATGGTTCAACTCATGACGAAGACCTGTGTCATGTTTTGGTTTGATTCAACTAGCAGCTATCACATCATCTTCTCTTGCAGCTATCATGAGTGTGTGCAAGGGGCGGTGCTACGCTACGACGGTGCTCCTGAGGAACTACCCACCGCCGCTCTAGTGTACGACTCCAACTACCCACCAGGAATAGTGAGATGCCTTCCTTCATATATTTTTCTCATAACCTTCCCATCTAGTTATGCAGCTTAACAAAGACATTACAACGCATTTCGTTACACAAATTTCATTTAATTAAAACACATTCAATTCTAATATATAGGATCACAACTGGTGATACGCTAGGCATAAAACAAATTGTCAAATAATCATCTATATGACTAAAATCTTTATGCGAAACACGGTAGTACAGAGAGAAAGGAGAGAGCAAGGTGTGAAAAACATGATTTGACAGATTCCACACAATCATTAAGCCGCGGGGGCATTGATTTCTGCAACACCCTCCTGTAGGTATGTAAAAGATTCATACAATATGAAGGATTATGTAGCGTATACTCGCATTATGCAAGGCTGACACCTGTAGCATGCTACACAGGTGAATCACTTAATTCTTTCTTATGAGGTGATGAGTCCCCAAATTCTGTGACCCCATTTGGTGAGCTCCCTTAATTCCGTGTCCCAGCTATAGCCTCGTTTGACTGGGTTCCTAGTGACTATAAATTCTGTGAACTTTCAATTCAGTTTTCTAGGAGATAAACCTCTTAATTCTGTGTCCAGACAGTGATTCCCTCTCAATTTTGTGAGCACAGGTAGTGAACCCCCTCAACTCACATGGTACTGCCGAGGAGGAGGTAACCATGGTTAAAATGAACTCCTTCGAGCCTAAAGTCTTGGAAGAACAAGTCGATAAGAAGTTTTACCTTGCCCTCAACTTCAATATTTGTGACAACCTTTATTTTTCGATTCTGAATTTTACACGCTCAAAATGA